CAAGGAGCCAGTCGATACTTCCATCGCCGGTTATTCGTGGATTCCAAAAATCGTGGAGAGCGAGGAAAGTCAAAGGGCTGGGTACATGGCGTACTTGCAGCAGCATTTGAAGACGCTGATAGATCGAGGAGACTTCTTGTTGGATGACATTGCGGGCGATAAATCAGTTCTTAACATCGTGGACCCAAGACTTCCGTTTGCTATGAAAGGCACAGCTGATGTATTGCTCATCAATCGAACAGCGAAGAACCCACTGATTAAGCTGGCTGGGGTCAGCTTGGTGATCGAGCTCAAGAAGAAAGTCGAACCGGGCCATGTTCCTCAAGCAATTGGTCAACTTGTGAGCTGCAGCATGAAGGCGCCTCTCAATTGCTATCCGCTGAGTTTGCTGACGGATTTAAACGACCACTGGCATTTCTCTTGGTTCAGCGACAAGCACGTTCTGACCCAAGTTACGCTGAAGTATCCAAAGAACGCGTTCAGATTTATCGAAGCAGCCGTACTGGGACGAACGGATTCTGCCCCACCTCCTCCGTCATTCATGCCTGGATCTTTCAAGACAATCAAGGTTGATGACTTCTTGCCCCAGCCGGTTGATGCTCGTGCAGAGGAGATGATGGAACGATACGAGTTGATGGCAGATGTGGTGGAACCAGAGTTTCTCATGGCGAGGCGGATGGATTATGCGCGACAGTTAGTCCAGTCGATGCCTATGTACTCTTACATGTATACGTAGTTCGTTGTTTCGATCTTTACGAGGCACTATCGTGAATGAACTTTTATCGCTGTGTTGTATGTGCCAATGCTTGCCTAGGACTACATGTACCAGCTTTTTAACTTTTCCATCCTGATAAATATAAAATTAATAATAAACAAAGATGGAGGTAAATTCACATGAGCAATACCAAGAGTGCGCTACTACCAGCGCACACGCGAAGCGCGCAAAAAAGCAATCCGACCAAACGAAATAACATGAAATATGTATTTTGAGTTTTGTATTTTGAGTGACTCACTAAATAGGGATCGCCCCTTCTGTGACATCACCTTCTTTTCCCGCTTAGGTACGGGTGATACATTTTCAACTCCCCCTCCCTTTTCCACATTCCAGAATCCATCGCCTCAT